ATCTATTTTTTTAATTAATTCATTAAAAGATTGATGTGGATCAAGTTCGTGTCTATAAATAATTAAATTTTCAAATGGTCCAATAATATGATTTAATTCATTTCGAATACGATTTGGTGTAAAACCAGTTATAGATATATCAGTATCTTGTGTTAATTTAAATAAATAAACATAAAATGTTGTTAAAAAAATTCTAAATAAATTAATATTTATTTTATTTTTATATCGAAATATTTGTCGAGTTAATGATTTATCTATATCAAATGAATAATATGAACCAGTTGAAATATTATCTAATTTATTATCATATGGAATTTTTAATCTATGATTAAAATTATAATCAGAAAATAAATCTTGCCAAAATTCTTCACAATTAGTTAAATCAATTTCATGTTCATATTGAGAATAATCAATATATTTCAAATCATATTTATCATCATTATTTAATTTTCCATTTAAATATGCATTTGTTAATTCTTTTATAAATAAATATTTTGAATATTGATCAATACCTGAATGATGATATATTAATAAAATATAATCATTTTTAATTAAATGATTTTTATCTTGAGCATTTCCCTTTAATAAATGACAACGAAACATTTTTCCTTTATTTAAATCAAAATGTTTTGAAATTTGTTCATTATATATAATATTATTAACTTTTTCAATATCATTAACATCTACATAAGTTAATTCATATGAATAAAGATCATTTGAGTTTTGATTTATTGTTTGTTGAAGAGAATGTTCATCCGCATTATAATCTAATGATGTTTGAAATATTTCATGTTTATCTAATAAAATTTTAATTGATTGACGAAAACGTTTTATTGGTAAAATTCCATCTTCAATTTGATAAACAATAACTGAATTATAATTATATAAATCTTCACTATTTTTAATAAGACTTTCTCGAATTTGTTCATCAATCCAAATACGTTCTTGACTATATGAACATTTACCTACAAATATAACATTCGAGTTTTTATTTTTATTTTTAATTTCTTATTTCTACAACCTTTCCAAATATTTAATCGTTTCCATTCGTCGTTTGTTTCCTTTGTCATATTATTTATCTTGAAAAAACTTTCTTTTTAGAATTTTATTTTATTTTCAAACTACTTTTGTAAACATAAAAAAAAACCTTCAATCGATAGATAAAATATGTTTAAAAAAGAAAAAAAACGAAAAAAAGGTAAGGTTATCTTTTATAAATGGGATCGATTAATCATTCTCTTTTATAATGTGATTATTCAACTATGTCGATTATATTATTGATTGAAATATTTGTTTATTTTATAGAATATATTATAGAGATCAATTTATTTCATATATATATGAATATATCTTATAGATATAACTCATCGGATAAGATTAATTCTTGTTTATTGGAGATAACTTTGATTAGCTAAACAAAAATTACCTCTAAATATCTTGAAAATAGTTGATACTCTTAGTTTATTTCAGCAATAATAGAAAATTTCAAGAAGATTTTTGCGAGTAAATCAAATTATTTCCCGTTGTCAAACAAATGAAAATTGATTTTGAAATATTTAGTTAAAATATTTTCTATAGAGATAGATTAATCAGATATTCTATATTTGTATAATAAGAAAAAAAAAATGTCGAAATTTCATATTCAATCATTTGAGAATGAATTTTCATGTTGGTTCGTCAATATGAATGAGAGTATTTACTTTAAAATAAAGATAAAGATTGAGTATATTCGTAGAAATAAGGTAATATATCGAACTCATCTTTGGTATATTGATTATTTATTATGATGTTGATTATCTCTCTAAGGTATATTGTCAATGTTGATTTGTTAGTTGTTAGATGTGTCGGTAGCGTGTCCTATCGACATAGGTATAGTTTAACAAGTTTTATTTGAAAGAAATAAAAATGAGAAGATGTCGCTAAATAAATTCTACAGTTTTTCCTGTAAGTCTCTCGTTTTAGTTTGACATATGATAGTAAGATGAGAAATAATATTTCTGATAAATATTGTTTTTTATTGTGAAAAAAAAGGTCAGTTTATGAAAATGATTTTTATCCGAGGTTGATTAGTGGATATCGATATCAACAATGATTGGTCTTTCTTCGATAGCTTGTTATCAGCAAACCACATAGTTTATTTCATATTGTTCGTTATTTAGTTAAATGGAAGTCGAGAAAAAAAACGTTGCTTCGAGCCAAGAAAACAAAACAAAGCCAAAGAAATTAGTTGGTTATATATTATTTTTGTAAGTGTTTTTTAAAATTTAGTTTAAATAAATAAAAAATAAATAAAAATAGATTATTTGGTATTGGAACATGGCTTAATTTAAATGGTATATGGATTGAATTACCATTATTAATTCCTCGATTACCTGAAGGATGGTCATTATCACCTCAATTAGGTATGGCAAGTAATATAGCAAATATAGGTCCATTAATAATAGCATTAATTCGTCATTTAATTGGTAAATCATCATCATATGAATTTCCATCAATATGTGTTATATTTGCTGTTGGTATATCTGTTCCATTAATACTTTCATTTACTTGGTTTAAACAAATATATTTACTTGGAAAAAATCGATCAATTTATTTATTAGTTCTTGGTTTTTTTCTTGCATTAGTTAATTGTACATCATCAGTTACATATCTTCCATTTGTTAATCATTTTGATCATAAATGGTTAAATATTTATTTTGCTGGTGAATCATTATCATCATTAATTCCAGCAATACTTGGTCTTATACAGGTAATCTTAGATTTTTTTTTGAATATTTATTAAATAAAATATATTCGAAAAAGGGTGTTGGTCAAAAACCAAAATGTGTTCCTGTATCTTTAAATTCAACAGAAATGAAAGCTGAATATTATCCAGCTAGATTTTCTGTTCAAATATATTTAATTTGTCTTAGTATAATTATGTTAATATCATTTATTGCATTTATTATTCTTTGGAAAATAAAAGTTAAAAATGAAGAAAAAAGTCAAGCTAAACAAATAATTGTTGGAGAAAATGCTCAAAGTTCATTATTAACTGTTAATAATGATGGTATTATTGTTGAAAATCAAGATGATAAACAAGAAAAATTTACAAGACGAACAATTATTTATTTAATAATTATACTTTGGACAAGTATTCTTTTAATTGGATGTATTCCATCACTTAATTCATATTCACTTAATCCATATGGACCTTCAACTTTTCATTATGTTATTATTTTATGTAACACCTTTATTTTTTTCTTTTTTTTTTAAAGATTATATTTATTTCTGTTAAGGTCAATGTTGTTATCCATTTGTTTCATTACTTGCTTCAACTTTTCCAAATTTGTTTACTGTATCAACAATCGGAATTATTATTTCAACTATTTCGGGATCTTTGGCGTTTTTTTATATATTTCTAACAGGTTTTCTTATTTATTTATTTAATTTGTTTATTCTTATTGTTTTGTTTTGTTTAATTTAAAAAAAGCATATATGTCACCATGTTCACCTTTTGTTGATGAATGGTCGGGAAAATATATAATTGTATGTATTAAATAAATATTTATTCTCGAATAAAATCTATATTTTATAATTTAAGGCAATTATATGGGCACTTGTTTATTTAATATTTTATTATGAACGAATTGTTCTTGGAAATTATTTTAATAAAACATCAGGTCATCGAGGTCTTTTTTGGTATGGACTTTTAACACAAGCTGGAGCTTTTATTGGAGCTCTTTTCATATTTATCTTAACAACTTTCGATGTATTCAAAGAACGAGATTTATGTACTTATTATCCTTGTTATTGATTTATTAACACAACACAACACAACACAACACAACGCAACACAATACAATTAGATTTAATCATTAGTTTATTCATTGCTTAAAGCACCCGGTTTATTCGGTGACAAATATTTCATAGAAATCTTTATTCAATATTTAAAACACTAATATAAAATAAAATAAAATAAAATAAAAACAGATCTATTCAGGCACATTTTCTTTTTTTTATTTTATAAAAAACAAATTTATTTTTATTTATTTAACATTTGATTTATTATGATAATGATAAATGTTTGTTTTTCGAATAGATATTTGTCTGAGAAGGAGAATGTTTCATTCCAATTCATATTATCACGTTTATAATAGTTATCTTACTTTTTAGTATTCTATTATCATTCTTATCATATTACCATTAGAATATTAATCTATGAATAATAAATAGAATAAATCAATACCAATGATAAATATAACAATAAAGATTTTCTTTTATTTAAAACGTTGAATTATCTATTTATATAAGACGATATTTAATTTTTTTTTTATTGATCAAATTTAAAATAAATAAATAAAAAATGGTTTCTTTTTAATGAAATAAATAAGATATGAGAACAAGTTTATTTCTAATTAGTCAACGACAAAAGTCTTGCCCGCATTCAAATGAATATTTTATTTTATTTCAATGAATAAAGTTTATAGTACAATATGTATATAGAGAGAGAAATTATAGACAATTAATATATTCATAGTAGTTCTCTAGTTCCTTGCTTCTTCTTTGAGTTCAGTAGAAATATGTGAAATGCACCCTTGGATGACTTTTTGTGAAATGAGATGACATGCTTGATCGACTGCTACTTCCAGCTCCACTTGATTTTTTGGCTGTGCCGTTTTGACTGTTTCTTTGAGTGAATGCCATACATTTTCAATTGCATTGAATTGAGGTGAATGAGATGGCCAATCTAATAATTTGAGTCCATGGTCATCGAACCATGTACGAATTGATTTTGTCCAATGTGATTTTAATTTATCTTGAGCCACAACATATCGACGACATTTATGTACATGTGGACCAAGATAGGAAGCTAATAAGTGTTGATATAAGGTTTGATTGAGATAGCCATCATATCTTGCGAACGTTTTGCCATTCCACCAAACTGCATCCCATTAGTTGACATAAGAACGAAGAGAAGAAATTTCGTGTGGAGGAGTTGGTTCTCCACGTTTCACCCAAACGATTTTATCTGTGTTACGTAATTGCACCTGTGTCTCATCAATGAAAATCCATTTCTTGAGATCACTATTCTGATGTTCTACTGCAAATAAATGACGTTTTTCGACTTGAGCTTGTGTTGATATGACTTTGGTTTGTGGTTTTCGTGGATAAAATCCAAGAGCCCGACGATAGCGTTGTAATGTACGTTCACTAACTCTAATACCAAACTTGTTAAAGATATAGTTCGAAAGTTGATTTGAAGTTGCAGTTGGATTTTTTGAGATGTACTTGTCGAGTGACCGTTGTTGTCCTTCACTAAGAGAAGTTGGTCGACCTAGTTTTTCTTGTTCAGCCAATAATCCTGTTTCATTGAAGCGAGCGACAATACGACTAATGGTTCGACGATCACAATGCAGTTGACGTGCTATTGTACTGAATGTCTTGTTTGGCTTTTGTGCTTCTTTCACAGCAAATAAACATTCCTCATGGGTCAAATTTCGCATTATTTACTGGTTTTAATATTTAATCAATCTGAAGCAAAAAACTTAAAGAAATATAAAAGCTAAATATAAGTAATGAAGTGTCTGAGAACGATATATGTAATAATAATATTATCTTTTTTAATGCTCTTATCAAGCGTAAAATAAATGATTTGGTTTACGGGCAAGACTTTTGTCGTCGACTAATAGAATATTTTTTTATTTTAATATTAATTAATAATCAACATTAAATAGATATAGATTATTATTGAAAACTTTTCATCATCATACTTTTAGAAATAATTGTGCGACGAGATCCTATTTAAATATTTATATTGAATAAAACTTTTTATCATTTTAGTCAACTAAATATTATCTTATTAAGAGATTAGATTGATCAATTCTCAGATCAATACATTTATCTACAATGACATTTTTATGCTAATTGATTCATATCTTCAAAACATTTTTGAAAAAGATTATGCTGTCTTGGAGATCTATGCTACTTGCAAACAAATGATGATTATCGTTTTTAAAATTGACTAACATTCAACATAGACACTGACATATTTTATATATCATCTATTAATGACGTTCACAAACTGACATACAACACTGAATGTAGATACGAGTGTAGATATAGCTATTTCCTTGTCCATCTATACTCTTAACGACGTGATTATCTAAGATAATTGATTCAAAGATCATTATGATAGTCAAACGCAAGCAAGACATCATATAGAATGATATATCCTATATTCTCAACTAGATGGTATTCGAGCTTCACTCGAATACGAAATGCGGTACGAAGCACTAATCTCGAGTTTTCGAAAAAAAAGATATTTCGTAAAAAACGAATAATCGATTATCGTATCAATGTCGAGTGGTGTTTCTCGTGAAGTTATTCAAGTTCTACTGAAGTCTGGCGTTTCTCTCGGTCCTTGTAAATATAAAAGTTGCATTTCCATCAATCAGCTGACCAACGTGAAAAACATGTTGAAAATTAGTCATAAGAAAATTCATCAGTACGAGAACTCTATCAAAGTGTATCAACATGTTTCTAACGAAAGATATCGATTGATCGTTTAATTATCTTTATGATTCATTATCTACAATCAGCTGTATTAATAGCTCCTTGATATATAAGAAAAAAAGAGTGGCGTCTAACTTTCGTTTATATTTTCGATTTTAATTATCTCAAAAAAAAAAGGACAAAATTGTTTTATATTTGTTATTTTCGAAAGCTGTTTATAAGGAAATGAAACATGTTCACAACAATATCGAAACAAAAGATATCGATTCGATCTCGATACTTGGATCTTACGTTTCAACGACTATTTCTGGATTTTTAGTTCTCGAGATCATCGAGTCACAAAATGGCAAGAGTGAGATAATCAAAACTAGATGGTATTCGAATTTCGACTCAAATACGAAATGTGATGCGAAGCACGAAGCTTTCGAATTTTCAACAAAATGATATTTCTTAGGAAACCAGAATTCGATTTTGTAAACTATAGTGATCGATATTTTTACTTGAATTAGCTACTGACTCTCTAAGATAGACACTTTTTCTCATCGTTCGCATTCGAAAAATTACTTTTTTTTTACGAGTCAGCTGATATAAGTCGTGAGAAAATTCAAAAGTTGCAAAATAACATTCATCACCACGAGAACTCTATAAATGTCGATGAAAACTCTTGTGAAGGAGGATTTCGATTGATCGATTAATTATCTATGTGATTCATTATCCATCATCAGCTGCTTTTACAGCTGTTCAACATATGAGAAAGAAGAGAGTGACGCCTAACTTTGTTTCCTATTTTCGATTTTAATTATCTCAAAACGAGCAAGCAATTAAGTGTTGCAAAATTTGTCATTTTTGGAAGCTATGTCTGAGAAAAATAAAAATGCTTTGAAAAGGAGCTCAACAGATATTATCGATTCGATCTCGATACTCGGATCTCGCGTTTGAACGATTTTTTTTGGAGTTTCTGTTCTTGAGATCATCGCAATCTGTTTGGTGATCGTTTAATTGTACATACTACAAGTTGGTTTTTAGAGAACTAGTTGGATTTATGTTCTAATCGAAAGTCAATAGATACTGTATCAAAAATCCGTGAAATTTATAGTATTTTCCTGCACGAAAGCTCATGTTTCAGTTTTTATTTATTTTTCTGTTTTTTTTTAACCTTCGAATCATTATAATTCGGTGTTAGTTTGGAAAAAGAATGTATATGTTAAGAAAAACGTATTTGTAGTTGAGTACATCTATGATACAATTCTTTTAAAAGATTCTTATTAGATTGTACTATATATAAGAATTTTTTTCATGAGCATTTTTGATTAAGTGTTATTATTTGTGTTAGTGGAAAAGAATAAGTGCGTCATTTATTTAGCATAAAGTAACTATGAAGCGATTTTAAGTAAGAAACGGAAGTCTATTTTATCTTCAAATCAATAGACATTATGAATTGCGATTGAATAGTTAATATCATGTTATTGAATGTTTTTCAATTGAATAAACATGTTAAAATCAAAACGATTGTTACAATATTTTTTTGTTTGGTATATGTAAATCACAGATCTCTTATATTGGTGGTGCTAATGATTGTTCTAAAAATAGAAAAAACATCAGTAAAAAGATAACTCAGTAAAACTTATTAATAGTTGAACTGGTAACATTATTGATAATTAAAAAATACTTTACTTACCAAATGAATTCAGATAAAAAAAAACGTTGTTGCATATGAAATTGATCAACATTGAAATGAAAAATCGTTAAAACCATAGTCAATTTTCTTTTTTTCATAAAATAGTGGTTTTTGTGTAAGTAAATCGTCGTAATCAATAGGACAAAGCCATGAGAAGCCACGAAAATTATATTTAATCCAACGATCAAGATATAAATATACATCACGAATATCATGTATCAGTGTATAGCAGATAAACGTTCGGATTACAATGGCTTGATGGAAATCAAGAGTCTAGGTATAATGAATAAACTATTGCAACTCGAGACTGATTACATGCTGTTTAGTTGAGTGCTATTGTCAAGTATATGTGCTCGGAATAGTAGATCTAACTATCAATGTATAGAGAAGAAACAAAAAGAAAAATGTATACATTTTTTTGGGACACCTTGTATGTTATAGTATGCTACAATTGGAATGTTATTAGTCAACTGAAAGCAAGATAAATCTTGTTGTTGTATTGTGATACTAGAATTTGTATTAAAATTTTGAGATTCCTCATAAGACAACCTTTTCAGGTAAATATTAATATCATTATAGCATCTCTTGTCAATATAACGAACCAAGTAAATTTTTCTTACCGAAAGTATTTTTGATCCATCGTACGCAACTTGAACAACATCAATGTCGAACGTGTGTAATATAAATACAGCATTAGAATCAGTGCGCCCGAATATAAATTGTATACGAATACTGTGCTTACAGCCAAAGCACAAGATAAATTCGATTACCTTACCATGTAAATTTGTTTCTTTTATAATGTAAGGTTTAGCTCGCCGTTTGAATCGATTAACATGACAAATAAATAATATCCATGAGCCTCCCATCCAGAAAAAATCAAGATCTTGTTGAGTATAAGATGCACAAAACTCAGGTCCTCATTAAATATCTGATGTTAGAAATCAACCTACTGACTTTGGAGATTTAAAATTTTTGGCTATGAAACTTTTTTAAATGTGAATAGATAAAAAACAAAATTCTTCTACTTAAAAAAATGAATTCTCATTGCACAGAGTATTTAGCGAGCATTAAATATGAAAATTATTATTTCTTTCAAGTTTAATACCAACAAAAACTGCCGATCAGAATACGAATATGACTTTTTTGTAATGACTTCTCTTGTGTGAAATAGGCGAGAACAGTTAGATAAAGTTTTCAGGAGAAAAAAACATAAATTATGAGAATATTCTTGAAGAACATTATAAGGTTTCTTCATATTAGTTGTATTGATAATTTCATGAAATAATAAAGCAAAACTTTTTATCAGCGATATCTGCAGTATAAAGTGGCAAGATAACTTGTTTTCAGGTTTTTAAGCTTTATTGAGCGAAATTTGCATCTTATAACTACCATTTAGATCAAAAGAAAGCGTTTGCACTATATTGATCCAATTGTCTTTTGGAAAATTCTGACATAGAAGACATTTTTTTTTTTAATATATATTTTCAATCCTCTTTGATTATTTTTTTTGTGTTTTATGGGTTACTGATATCGTCTAAAGTCATATTTGACTTCATTATACAGTGATTACTGATTATTTGTTTATTTCGTTTGATACTTGTTCTGCGAATTGCTATCAATAGAACTCCGTGAAGAATTTTAAGATATGAGAAGCATCAAGACATCACCTTGAATAAAAAATAAAATTTTAGACTTGTAAATTCTAATTTTCAGTTTCAATAGTGCTTGAAACGAAAGATCATAATATTCAAATATTGAGACGATGGTTAACACTCTCAAGCTGAAAGCCATCAGTTCAATTTATCCCATTTCTTTCTCTATCGATATATTTAATTCTCTCTGACATCATTTAGAAAATAAATTTTTCTTTTCGAGAGCGAAATTCACGTGACTCAATAATATTTTTTCTCTTCTGTTGATGTTCACAACTCGTGATGGTAAAAGCAGAACAAAAAAAGAAATATAGCATTCTATTTTGACAACAGATACGTCTAATAGAAGGGTATCAAGAGTGAAGACAGATAAATTTTTCTTCTGTTGAACATCATATATTTTTCGACAATATTAAAGTTAAACAGACGATGGTCGTCTGAAGACTGAGACGTGAATATGCACTATATAAAATATGCAAATCTGAAAACTCTTCTAATGCTTGACATAAAGATAAAAAGTATTCAACAAATGTCTTGTATCAATAAATTTTATAAGATCCCATTGGATAGCCATTCAAAACTTTGAATTGATAGAAACCCATAGAAATTGAAGGTTCAAAGGATAGATTTGTTATAAGTCTTATATAAAGAATTTTTCTTATTTTGTTTTCTTTTAAGATATTCTAAAAAAAACTGACGACATGTTTGAATGAATCCCAGTCTTTAAAATCATGAATACGAACAACTCCTACAACCTATATATAGAAAGTCTTAACTCAACTCGCTTGTTTAATTTTCAACCATTGATAAGTCAGTATAGATAATCAACAGCAATTAACTAAAAATGGGCATTTCATGTTCGTTCTAAATATATATGTAATTGTTTTTGGCTCAGGTTTGGTTTATTGAAAGTAGGTCTCTGAAAGAATAAAAAACGACGTCTGTATACAGAATTATTCATGCAATTCATTTTTATTTTTTAATTGAAATTATCTCAACCTGAGCTATGAACTTTTTATGCATAAATTTTGCAGAGGAAATCTTGCTGTACAGAAGGCTGAATTTGCTTCGCGCTTTACATTTTGCTTTACGGGATCAAAATCTATTTCGTTTTTATTATCGAAATTCGAAAACAAAACGATTGTTTTAAAACTACCATTTCACATGTAGACAAATTCTTTGAAGAATGTTAATAGCTTTTGATTTTTCGAGTTTTATCTGATTGTAACTCATGATTCTGTATAACGTTAAACACTTTACAACAACAGAGAGCTAAAAGTATTTTAAAGTGTTTCTCAAAGAGATTGATAACAGAAAAAGAGCTTATACTTTGCTTGATGAAAGCAACATTCCTCAATTATTCTGATATTTGCTCATATTTAACCAGCCTAAAATTGAAAAATAATTCCGAAAATAAATCTAAAAGCGACATCGAATTCTTAGTCTAACTGATTCATTTTGATTATTCTCAATACAATCTAGATATACAAAAACCATGAACAAATATATGTACTAAAACCGACCAGTTTAGGATTTTGTACAGACATCGTTTTAGATGCTTTCAAACATTTGTTCTTAATGTGTCAATCTAAGTCAAAGAAGCCGGAACATACGTTTTGAAAGAGTTTGAAATGATCATTCTATTGAGTATTGACTCTCGCCAATGACTTGGATAAATGATCGAAAATTAAGCAAAGATGATGTGTAAAGACTTTTTGTACATAGATTAAAATAATTATGATGTTTTACAAGGACTTAAAGAAATACAATATAATAGATTTTATTTGATTTGCAAGAACAAAAACAACACCGTTCTTGTTCATGAGTTGATTTTTAACAGAAATTTTCCCAGAAAAGTTCTTGCGAATTACAAATTATTTACTCATATCTTAATTTAGACGATAAAAAAGAAATAATAGCATTTGTTAATTGTTTTCATTTATTTATAATAAATTTTATATTTTTTAATTTATGGTATAAATTGACAAAAAAAATCTATACAAGTCGATATTTATTTCATGTTACATCTTATTATTAGTGATATGACTCGGTCTATGTCATATTGAAATCAGAACAATTGAAACATTTTTGCATTTTCATTTTTTTTCTTTTCTTCAATCAAATGATGATGTATACAAAGTACATGTGTCTCCAACACCGCGGTACTGAATGCCCTCTTTCATATTTTAGAGGCTATGCGTAATTTTAATGCAATAGCTTTTTTTTGTGAATGTACGTGCGAGTGCATATAGCAGAGATGGACGAGTGAGCAAAAAAGCCGCACCACCACCGCCCCGTCCCAAATATGTTTTCAAAAACTATTTCTCGACAAATTTTTCATTAAATTTTCATAATGACCATTTCATTCCATGATATGAAAAGGCATATTTTAGATACATAAACATCATTTCGAAATAGAAAAAAATAAACGTATGAAAATGAAAAACAATTATAATACAATCATTCGTTTTGTGGAACTCACGTATATTTCCGAAGAAAATAGTGATTGTAAGTTTTAAGTTCGAGGTTTGGCGGCTCTTCCCTCCCCTCCCACCCCATTACAGACACATAGCAATCGGAAAGAGAACATTACAGACATACTCCTCATCATAGACACCCACCATTACGGACACTCCACCCAGGATTGTGAGATCTTCCGATACGGCAGGAAAAATTTCGATTTTTGAAACTTTTTCCGACGACTTTCCGGCGTTCCGATTTTAACATATTTCTCCGATCGCCTTCAGATTTCCTAATTTTTCTTCGGTTTTCGGAGTCTTGTTTGTGAATTCAAGTTCTTAGAATATTCCAGAATAATTTAACCATGATGCGGTACCACACATATATTGCGACCTATTTCATCGTAATTATCGGGTAGTGCAGCGTTATGAACTCAACAAACCACACTTCAGTGATCTGAAAGCACATCCTCCATTAAAATTATGATGTTTTACAGACAATAAAGATCCAGTTTTCTATCACGATGAGCTAACTTTCTCTGTTCGTTTACTATACTGATAATTAAGAATATTTTCGTTTTTGAGCTTTTGTTTGTTTCATCGCAGATATAATAAAACTAATCATAATCGTATGGGTACTAAATTAGCTGTTGCACAATTGAAAATCCGAATGAGTTCTGTTTATCCTTGTGGACATTTTTATAAATATCTGTTATCTCAGCCAGATATTTTGAAGAACATTCGAGCTAATAAAAAAGTATGAACAAAAACGAACGTTATACAAAATAAGTCTTACGAGGGAACCGATACAACTGATAAATCGCTTTTGAGTTCCGACTCTGTGCATAAGATAGACCTCCGTGAGGTATGAGAAACCCTGAAAGGACAAGTGCCCATAGGCCTTCTGTCCAGAGTTCTAGGCATTTTATTGGAATTTTAGCCTATGACATGGTGCATACCAATAAATCGAATGACGGTATTTCGAGCTGAGATTTTGCTCACAGAGGGGCCTATTTGTGAGTAGAATGTCCTGAAAATTTCAGTTCAAAAGAGTGTTTCCTTCCCAAGATATTAAAGTTCCAAAAAGTAGGAAATTCTAGCGACTTTGTGGGATATGCGCGATTTTTGAGGCTGCAATATCTCGGGAGAAAAATGTTCTTTTGAGCTGAAATTTTTAGGATATACTACTAACAAATAGACCCCTCTGTGGGCAAAATCTCAGCTCGAAATACCGTCATTCGATTTATTGGTATATACCGTGTCATAGGCTAAAATTCCAATAAAATGCCTAGAACTCTGGACAGAAGGCCTATGGGCACTTGTCCTTTCAGGGTTTCTCATACCTCACGAGGGTCTATCTTATGCACAGAGTCTGAACTCAAAAGCGATTTATCAGTTGCATCGGTCCCCTCGTTAGTTTCTTTTGCACAAGTTTTGTGAAATGCATGTGTGTATGAATTTACAATGCTGATTCTATTGCTTCGTCGAGTTGGTTATAGCATTTTTGAAAAAAATAATGTGATCCTGTTCAAATGACTTATGTAGATTTCTTAATCATGGGTAAATTGTGTAATCGATACTTTCTTTAATTCTTTATGAAATATCATTTCCAAATATTGTTTCGAAAAGACGAACAGAAGCAAGATAAAGGATATTGAAGCTATTGAAAATATACAGACTAGTTATTTAAGCATTGAAAAATACTTTCTGATTTTTTTCCGATTTCGAGAACAAAACTTCCGACTTTTTCCGATTTTAAGAAAACTTTTTCTGATTTTTTAATTTTCAATCTGGCAACCCTGATACCACCATTACAAACCTCAGCAACAGCTCATAAAAGGCTCTAGTTTTATATAATATATCAATGATTTCGTACGTATTCGAAAAAAAGTATTTTACAATTTAAAAATTAGGCATCAGAATAAAAAGTTTTAAAAATATACGTGAGTTCCACATTTTAGCTGCTTTGGAGCTGCGCTAACAAGCTTTTTTTTACTGATTAGTTTTGTGTAAAAAAGTTTTTAAAATTTTTAAGCGATGTCTTTAAAGGTCTGAGTATATTTGAAAAACCAACGTGATACAAAGGCGGGGAAACTGCGAAATTTCGTCATGCACCGTCACCGCCCCGCCTCGTCAGGTTTTAGCACCGTTCCGTCGGCGAGACGGGCGGTGTTACACCACGGCTCGTCCATTTCTGGTACATAGCTTATCTCAAACATCAAACGACGTTTGTTAAACAAATGTCATTGTTTCTATAGTCATTAGTGACCTCTTTTCTACATCGTAGTGATTGGTTTCATTAATAAATCTAATAGAAAACAACGTCTAAAATCTTGTTGTTCTTCACTATCTTCAAAGATGAATGAGTATTTTCTATTATTCGAATCAAATTATTAGATGTTTTCCGGTGGAGAGTCTCATTGGTTTTCTTCTATTTGTATTTCATTCTTTTCTACATTTCAATTAATTTTATTTCCTATGAATTTTAGATTTAGAAAAATAAATGCCACGATCTTCAAGTCCGTTTTTATATGAACAACTTACTGGTGAAATTATATTTTCACATTTAACAGCTAGCATTTGTAAACATATTATTTTACCAAAGAAGCACCGTCATCAATCTCGTCGTTTCTTATCAAATGATGCTGAAACACGAACAATCTTTAAACATACAAAAAAAATTATTGATGATTGACCATCATCCATTGACAGGTTTTGATCAACTTGAAGCTGATTTGTTTTTTAAATTTTGTTTTGATGAAACATTTCATTTAAATATACTAACGAATTTGAAAAACAATTTATTTATTATCGGCAAACATGAACAACCTATATATACCGAAGAAGAAAAAATTATTGATGACATATTATCCAATGATATTGGTTTAACTAGTATGATCTTTCCAGACAAATCACCATCAACAATTGATGATGACAATCAATTATGTAATTATAAACCATCAACAATTATTAATAAACGTTATTGTCTTTTTGAAAGTACACTTAATATCGAAAATCTTCATAGAAAATTATTACAGTTGGAACGACTTTTAGCTTTTTTTACATCGCGTCATTTATTTCGATTCATACACAATAATAAATTATTATTTATGGAAATGTTGCCATCTAATTTTCATCAATTGATTAAATGTATTAAATCAAATAATCTTGATAAAATTACTGATAAAAATATCTCAACATTAACATCAGTAACACTTTCATGCATTGGATTTGCTGGCTTTTCAATGCCAATTAATCTTGAATCTGATATTATTCAAATTCTCAAGAATTCAGATGATACTGAAGAAAATGAAGATCATTGTCATTTTTATTTCTTGAATGCGTTGTTTAACACAGGTAGATTGTTATTTTATCATGTAGATGATACACAAGAAGGATGGCGTCGAGCCATATGTACCAGTATGGCTTTATTATCTGATCGAATATCAACTATTGAACTTATACAAAAATCTATTCAAGTTGATTTAAATGCTGTTCTAGATAAAACAAATTCTCAAATGCAATCGATTGATAAAATTCATTTATCATTAAATGGTATTAAGAAAAATGAAGAAGATATTAATAAAAAAATAGATAATCTTGAAAAAAATATCAATAACAAGATTGATAAAATGCAAGAAAGCACAAACAATGAATTGAAGAAAATGCAAGAAAGCACAAACAACGAATTGAAGAAAATGCAAGAAAGGACAAATAATGAATTAAAGAATATTATTAAACTGTTAACATTCAATGAAAAAAATAATCGTCGATCATGTTCTTGCATATTATTTTAATTATGTATTTTATTGTAATTAGAGATTTTCTTTTTTCGTCTTATTATTTACGTTTTTTTTATGCAATTTTTTAAATAAACATTTCTCTCATTCAACAATTAAGAAAATTTAATTAATGGAAATAAAATCAATGTTGATTATAAAGCGTTGATTTCTTAACTTTATCTGATAAGAAAAAAAAATACTTCTCCAAGAATTTCTTTGATTCTTTTCTTGTTTCAGATTATTTCTATTTTCATTATGATTCTTCTTTCCTTCTTGAACATAGCAATACCAATAGTATTGTGATTTTGATGACAATCTTCAATATCTTTTGGATCTTTAATCAGTATCATTGGTTTTTTCAAATCAACCAAGCGAAAAAGTTCATCAAGCAGCGTTTGCTATCATCTCTCTTGCTTTTTTATTCTTCTTGGAAACATTCAATAATTAAGTTGAATCCGATTTATCTTCTCAAATTTTTACATTTGAAAAATATTCTGAAAAACGAATTCTTTTCATATTCCGTAAATATTCAACTAATTAAGAGCGAAACTTAATTGTAATGAAAGTTTGATTTTTTTCTTCACTTTTTACAAGAACTAATTGATTTTTTCTTTCTTATATTTTTCTTTGGATAGAAAACAATGAGCCAATTCAATTCAGTTCATCTAAACTTGATTCATCAATACAACGATTTGAAGACGAATCACATTGTTTCGGATATTATAGCTATATAAGTTATTGTTCTATAATACTGACTAAAAAAAGAAGAAATCTAAATAAAGAACAAAAAAGTATTTCAGCTACTTTCTAGAATAGACAAGATATTGTTGTAATTGTATAAAGTGAATACTAGCATTAGTTCAATCTTGGTCTAAATGGATTTTATCAATAATCAATAAATACTGTTTGTGCTAATCTTTGACTGATTTTGTCAGTAAATGTTATTCGTTGTATATCATGTTGTTTATTAGCCGGAATTGGTATTTGATTTGATATATAAGTCAATGGAGTTTGTATATAATAAAGACCAGTAAATAATCTGGAGGTTGATAATATTAAAGATGATAAATATCTTCCATCAAGTATTTGATCATTATAAAATAAAATACAAGAGTATAAATTCGTTGAGTTGTTGTTAATGAACTTATATTTAAATATGAATCTTCTAATAAACCTTTTATATTATTACTTGTTATAGAATCTATAAATATCAAAAAAACAATTAATTAAAATAATTATATTTGTTTACTTTGTTGATTATATAATGTTAAAACTAATCTTTGTAAATACTGACGATGATTTATTGTTAAATAATTTAAATAAAAATATGAATAAGCTTTCGATAAATAATAAACACAATTTATTAATCGTTGCATTTGACTAGATATTAATATTTGATATAATTGATTGCTTAATTGTAATTGAACTATCAAGCCATGTGCCCTTTTATGTTGAATATATATAATCGATAATCGATAAATATGTCTAAAATAAAATAATTTAAAAAATAAATAATTCAATTAGATTTTACCTAACATTATTAACGACTTATTCAACATTAAACATCCCCATATTAATAGTATAAGTTTCAGCTTGTTGTAAAGCATTATTTAATTGTTTTGAAGTCCAAAATAAATTAAAAAATTTTATATAATAAAATATTATTATGATAATTTCAGTAGTGTCAAACCTGAAAGTTGAATTCAATTATTGAAACTCTACTTCAACTATTCAATTATTGAAAAACTGAAGTTCAACTATTCAACTATTCAATTATTCAATTATTCAATTATTGAATAGTTGAAGTTCAACTATTTAACTATTCAATTATTCATTTATCGAATACTTGAAGTTCAACTATTCAATCATTCAATTATTCATTTATTGAATAGTTGAAGTTCAACTATTTAACTATTCAATTATTCATGTATCGAATACTTGAAGTTCAACTATTCAACTATTCATTTATTCATTT